AACCACTGGTTTCTAGGCGAGGCGCTGCCAAGCCTATTTTGGATGATTTTTCAAGGTTTGAGACGAAGAGCAGTCAAAGGACAGGAGAGAAGAGGATAGCAAAAAAGAGGTTCAAACTGCAATCTATAACTCTTTCCGGCTTCAACTCACCAAAAAAAATAAAAATGGAGGTTTCGCGAAGCGCCTCGCCTAAAACCAGTGGTTTTAAGGATGGTGGCCTTGCTTAAAACCACTGGTTTTAGGCGAGGCGCTTCGCGAAACCTCCATTTTTCTGTTTTTTTTTGTGAAACACAAAAAATAGAGGTTTCGAGAAGCGCCTCGCCTAAAACCAGTGGTTTTAAGGAAGGCAACCTTACTTAAAACCAGTGGTTTTAGGCAAGGCGCTTCGCGAAACCTCCATTTTTCTGTTTTTTTGTGAAACACAAAAAAATAGAGGTTTCGCGACGCGCCTCGCCTAAAACCAGTGGTTTTAACGAAGGTTGCCTTGCTTAAAACCACTGGTTTTAGGCGAGGCGCTTCGGGAAACCTCCATGTTTCTTTTTTTTTCTGAAACGCAAAAAAAATAGAGGTTTCGAGCAGCGCCTCGCCTAAAACCAGTGGTTTTAAGCAAGGCAACCTTCGTTAAAACCACTGGTTTTAGGCGAGGCGCTTCGCGAAACCTCCATTTTTCTGTTTTTTTGTGAAACACAAAAAAATAAAGGTTTCGCGAAGCGCCTCGCCTAAAACCAGTGGTTTTAAGCAAGGCAACCTTGCTTAAAACCGCTGGTTTTAGGCGAGGCGCTTCGCGAAACCTCCATTTTTGGCTTTTTTTTGTTGAATTGAAGCCGGAAAGATTTATAGATTGCAGTTTGAAACTCTTTGACTGCTCGTCGTCTCAAACCTTGAAAATCATCCAAAATAGGCTTGGCAGCGCCTCGCCTAAAACCAGTGGTTTTAACGAAGGTTGTCTTGCTTAAAACCACTGGTTTTAGGCGAGGCGCTTCGGGAAACCTCCATTTTTCTGTTTTTTTTGTGAAGCGCAAAAAAAAAAATAGGTTTCGAGAAGCGCCTCCCCTAAAACCAGTGGTTTTAAGCAAGGCAACCTTCGCTAAAACCACTGGTTTTAGGCGAGGCGCTTCGCGAAATTCTTCTGCTTTTTTTGTGAAACACAAAAAAATAAAGGTTTCGCGAAGCGCCTCGCCTAAAACCAATGGTTTTAAGCAAGGCAACCTTGCTTAAAACCGCTGGTTTTAGGCGAGGCGCTTCGCGAAACCTCCATTTTTGGCTTTTTTTGTTGAATTGAAGCCGGAAAGATTTATAGATTGCAGTTTGAAACTCTTTGACTGCTCTTCGTCTCAAACCTTGAAAATCATCCAAAATAGGCTTGGCAGCGCCTCGCCTAAAACCAGTGGTTTTAAGCAAGGCAATGAAGTTTTGAGCAAGGCAGAGCTATGCGCCTTGCTGAATTCAGCACCGCCTCGCTTAAAACCACTGGTTTTAAGCAAGGCAAGCATTTGTGCTATATGAGATTGTTTCGAGGGGAGGAGAGAGGAGGGAGTTGAGCATGACATCTGATTGGACAGAATGTGAATTTAGCTCAGCTGTTTGTTTTTATTTTGAAACTACCCTGTCCTATAGCATTCGACGAACTGCTGCAACCGGATTCACATGGTTTCTTTTGGGATATCAAACCATAGAAAGAGCTGTTCAGAGCACAGTTGTTCCTTCCGTTGCAGGATCCAAAAAACCACTGAAAGCGTTCGAGTTGTGCTTCGAGAAAGGCCATGCACGGGTCTTGGCGCTCCACGCCCTGATGGTCTACCTGTACCACATGGGCATAGAGGTGCCATGGGCTATTGCTATGGCGAAGAGAGTTCCTGGGATGATCGTGCAGAAATCGCTGCAAGACGCGTTCATGTCTGGCCTTCGAGAGTCCGCCGCTGTGCTGAGAAGCACTGGATGGTGGTGGCTGGACCACGGTCACCATTGAAGAGTATGGGCTTTACTGTTGCTCGACATTGGAAGAGGATTGACTTTAAAACTTCTCCATGATCCGTAGATGAATGCAGTTTGTCGACTGCCATGGATTAAGTTTGAGATAGTTTGAGACATGGTTTGGGAATCATACTGGGCTGACGCAACCACTCCAAAAAATGTCTTCAGTAATGCTTGAATAATGTTGTCAAACCATTCGAGATCCAGGTGCGTCGAATTTCAACAAATGTAACATTGTACTAACTCCTGTCTCTGTGCCTCTCAGTCATTCCAGCGGCAATTGAAGCGACACCTTGGATCCTTGGCAAATGACATGGCCAAGCAGCAGGGCTTGCACCGCTTCTGCACCAGAGTGGGTTGGCAATCGATGGCCTTACTGCGGCAGTACCAAGACCAAGCCCTTGCTGGGAGGCATTAGTGCCCATGGCGACGTGGTCATCTGGCTCAAAGTATCTACTCTCTGCACAACAAAGGGATACGGGAAAACCAGGCCTGACTGACGTCCAACAACAACTCATGGTCCGCAGATGGATCCGCGAGCATCAGATGCTGGAGATGCACAAGCAACTGAGCTAAACTTTTGCTGCATTTGTTTGCAGATTTGAAGCTAGAACTGTCACAGTCCATCACAGTCCTAAGATTTCACATCATGATAACATACAGTATAGGCCATGTTAATGATGCTTTGGATCTGGTCCACGTACCGACCAGATAGTATGTGGGTGTCCAAGTTTTACTGAATTGTCTCCCTGCCGCAAAATCACACAAGCGCCACGATTTGTGAGGCCAAGCGAGGACAACGGCACTTCCACATTCATCGAGAAGAAGGAGTGCAGTGTTTCTCTCGCAAGGTTATCTTCCTCCGAGAGCCGGGAGAAAGCGCGAGTCGCACCTTGGTTGCTTTGGAGATGGGGTCAGTGAGGTATCTCTTTCTATCCCTTTCTTCCGGGTGAAATCGTCAGCTAGATTCCAATCCAAGACATTTGTTTACAATGGGGTTTCCAGTCCAATCCCTGCCTTGCAAACACAAATAGATAAAGAAATCGCCAACCATGATGAGTATAGCTTTATATATATATACATATATATATGTGTACATATATATATATGTATATTTACATGGGGGTTCCCACACACTGTCTGCCAACCACCGACCCCTGCAGATTGCGAAAGCATACAGTGCAGTGAGAGATGCTCTGAGCAAGGGAACTTGGAGACAAACCAACTGTTCAAGAACAGCATCTTCTAGCCCTCGATCAAGCTTTCCTTGCAGGGGCTATGGACAGCCAACTGGAACGTGAGGTCACCACGACGAAGGAAATATTGCGGCTTCCCCCAGTTCCCGCCATCTTCGACAGGATGCAGGCGGAGAAGCGCGCCCAGGAGCGTGAGGCATTGGCGAAAGCATGTGAGGAAGCAAGGAGCCTCATGCAGCTTGGTGTAGACTTCAAGGAGGAAAGCTTGCGAAGCTTCTTCCAGGCAAAGATGAAGGTTTACTATCAGACAGTGATTGATGGGGTGGCCAGTGTGGTCAGGGAGGCAAGGGAACTTTTGATGGCCAGGAAAAAGGACAGTGTGACCAGAGCCTTGCCGACGTGGCCAACCGCCGGTTTGTGGTGGACCGGGTGCTTCCAAAAGCAGAGCGCCACTGGCATTGGCAAACATGCTTCTTCTTGGACCTCACATCGATTGGTGACGGACTTGAGGCTGTGGATATGTGCATCTCCCAGGTCAAGCAGCCAATGGACTGCATCCTCATCGCCTTGCTGTCACCGGAACAGGTGAGTGAGGATTGCAAGATCTCCACCAAGGCAATTGAGCAGAACCTCACGGTGCGAAGGCTCCCCATCCAGCTCAGCACCGCCTTCAACGAGATGCTGGCTTTGCATGTGCTCGTTATCGGAGCGAATGCTGAGGGGACCGATGGCAATTTGAGGACCAGGACAGGATCCCAAAATAGTTTTGGGTTCGTTTTAGATACCTTGCTCGCATTTGATGAGGCAATGTTGGGTGATGTATGGGGATGTATAAGGTGTTTTGCATCCGAGTTTGCATCTGCTCTTTGTCATCAGATGTCATCAGAATACTTTGTTCATGCTTCTATTTTCTGTGGAAATCGAGTGCGTCACTCCGCGTCCGTCAATGACAAATTACTTTACTTCGAGTGATCCCCACCATGACATTTATACGTTTTATTACTTGCAAATCTTCTGGCATTCTATCTGACATATCTTCTGGCATTCGATCTGGCATTCTATCTGGCATATCTTCTGGCATTCTACCTGGCATATCTTCTGGCATATGTTCTGGCATATCTTCTGGCATTCTATCTGGCATATCTTCTGGCGTATTATCTGGCAAATCATCTGGCATTCTATCTGACATTTACTCTGGCATTCTATCTGGCATACCTTCTGGCATATGTTCTGGCATATCTTCTGGCATTCTATCTGGCATATCTTCTGGCATTCTATCTGGCAAATCTTCTGGCATTCTATCTGGCATATCTTCCTGGCATTCTATCTGGCATATCTTATGGCATTTTATCTGGCATATCTTCTGGCATTCTATCTGACATTCTATCTGGCATATCTTCTGGCATTCTATTTGGCCGTTGAGGTCCAGCGATGCGCACTGAGCTCGGAGGTCCCAGGTTGAGGTCCAGCGGTGCGCACTGAGCTAGGAAGGTCCCAGGTTGAGGTCCAGCGGTGCGCACTGAGCTGGGAACGTCCCAGGTTGAGGTCCAGCGGTGCGCACTGAGCTAGGAAGGTCCCAGGTTGAGGTCCAGCGGTGCGCACTGAGCTGGGAAGGTCCCAGGTTGAGGTCCAGCTGAGCTCGGAAGTTGGCGAAGAGCTTGGCGAAGAGTTGGCAAGGCGGAAGTGAACATGGGAGTGGATGCAGAGGTGGTGGAGGAGATGCTGGAGGAGGAGGAAGAGGAGCAGGAGGAGGAGGAGAGCAGCTCTGATAAAATCTAACAACCCTCACCTGGCAGGTGGGGAATTTCATTGTGCCAGGACCGCGAAAAGCCGATTCTTCAAAAGCACCTTGGTTCAAATTGCGGCAAGGCGGGTGAAAGGACCGCGGGCAGTAAATGGGAAACCGCTGTTCACGGATAGCACACGGTCGAAAGATTTCATCGGTGCACTGCTGCAAAGCCTGGACATCTTACCGTGCCATGTGGTGGACTTCGAGCCAAGTGGGAAAGAACTAATGGAAATAGTGGCGGAGAGCAAGAGCAGTGTCTACCATGCACTGTTGCTGCGCCATTCGGCGCCGAAGC